TACTACACCCTTTTTTTTATTTAACGATGTAAACAAAGGACGAATCCTTCATTGGTACTGACGAGAAAGAAAGTGTGTAATTATTTTGGACCTAATAAGAATGTGAAGAGAGGGCTAATTCAAACTGTTCCTCTGGATCTTCATATAATTCCGTTAAGCGCCCGGGAATCGCCACTAATTATTTAGCCTACCCTGAATTCACGACCCGCCACACTTTCTGAGCTGAGAATTATTGTGCATAATTATTACTTGGGAACATTTGAAAATCGTCATGGAACATCAAAAATATTACTCGGGCAACTTTTCTTGAACGATGGATTGACGGATTTCGGGTGGAGTGGGGATATTAGTTACAAAGTCGGCCACTAGAGTATTTTAAGTAACGCCAACGTCTATGAAATGAAAGTCAAAACTGCATCTTGTGCTTCACTTTTGCGGGAGTTTTAGGTGACTCCTTGAATGCTGGACTTGACCTCATCGCATTTCTTCGATATTGACAAATAAACCTGAACAGGGTATCTGCACATGAAAGCAAACTGGCGTTTGACTAGCTTCTGATCGCACCAAACGAAGTTTTAATGCTGAAAGGTTGTCATCAGTGCCGCTGCTAGTTTGCCTTCCAAACTGTTTATTGCACAAGGGAGGGGATCAAGGTTCAACAAAGTTGCGCGAGTAATATCTGATCGGCGTGAATTCAAGGAGAATTAAGATCAGCCAAACTTGTGTCTACAGAATACTTTTCCGAAATCGTCGAATCAGGACGTAATCTGTAGATTCTTATCACAGTTTTGAAGCAAAAAGTCTACTGCAGAATGTTCTAAATTTGAAGAACTATATTTCTTTTTATTAATGGCATCAAAAACTCCAAAAGGTTTGAATTTCATTGAATAAATAATAGAGTTGGGTTGATAACAATAAGTGTTATTCCTGTTAGACTGCCGTATGTTTGATGCCGGAGTTCTTGTGGCATCATTCTGATAATATGAAGCTACTTATTTTTTTTATAGCCAATTTTCATTGGCGTGCGCCACCTAAAACATGAGTCCGGGCAACGACATTCCTGAAACCCCTTAATTATTTGTCAATTTTTGAAATGATTTTTTGGGATCAACTCCGAATTAACCGTATTTTTTCGGAGTATTTTGTCCATCTCTCAATGATAGGAAGTTTCTTGACACTTCTGCCCTAATTCGTCCGTTACGCTGTAGATGTATACATTGTACAATTTCCAATTTTTTCCTAGTTTTGGGAAAGTTATGGATTTTTCCCATATTTCATGACACATTTTTTATGTAAAATATTGAATATGATTTCATAAAGTTTATAAAATGACGTGTTAATATGGTCACACGCCCATTATTGTTTTGGGAACTTGTGATTCTATAATTGCAAATTACAAATGTGCAGATAAAATTCCAAGTAACACCGTTTCAAAAGTAAAATTTAAAAATTTGAAAAATAAAGTATGTTTGATATGATCAAATTATTTAGAAAGTTTTGACCAATTCCTACCTTTCTTTTGCACACACAAAAATGTCATTCAAAAACAAACATAAAAATTAATTTTAATTGTAGAAAAATTGTTAGTCAACAAGTTAATCAATATAACACAACACAATAAGTGTAGGCTTTTATAAATGAGTAAAACATCAAAATTTTTCAATTTGTTTTATAACTCATGAATAGGCAATAATACTTCAAGATAGTTATGATAACAATGTAAGAATAGAGTGTCCATTCATTTGACTTCAACTTTTGAAAATTTTCTAGAAGGGCCACCCCTCTATGCACATGTATGTCAGTATAATATATTCTATTTAGTGTATGGGAAATGATGCTCAAATGTTAACACAAAGTAGTATGAATGCAACATAGCAAATAAAATAATTTCGTTTGACCACATCAACCTTAATAAATCTACTTACCTATAACATAGTATACATGTAAATGATTTCTATACTTGAATTAAAATAAAGTGAATGTCATTAAGGTTGTCTAAAATCTACTGTATGATATGTGTAGTTTAAAAGGGATTTTTTTTTTTCCAACCTCACATTGGAAATTTTATTACTAAACTGTTATTGAATTCAAGCAATTTCTCTTTAAGGTCTCTTACAACTAAAAAATATTTGTGTAAGAGTTGGTAAGGAAGCACTTGGGGAAAAATATAGAAATTTTTGTTCATAATAACGGAAATAATGTCTAAAAGTTTGTGGTTTATTAATTTATTTCTTAATCAAGGTGTTTTATAAATTAATTTCTCAGCAGTCTTTTAGTAACTTCATTCACCTTTAAAAAAATTGTGTAAAAATTGTAGTTTTCCAAATTGTGGAACATGATTAAATTACACAATTTCAGAAAATTGTTCATTTTCCATACTATGTCATTTTGTAGATACATATTCAGTACATCCTTTCCTTTAGGCCCTTCTATCAATTCTATTTAGTGTTATTTACAAATTATCTCTCAGTAAATGTTATGAATCATTGTCCACACTCAGAGGCATATCCAGAGACAAATTTTGAGAGTGGAAATTTAAATATTTTTGGACAAATGTGTCATTACAGATTTTGTAAAATGTCACAGACTACACTCTGCTCATTCTGCAATATAATTTTGTTGTCATTATTATCCAATAACATTTTTGTTTCAAAGTTTTGTGACAAGTTAAAATTAATAGTTACAGCAACATTTTAGGGAGGGACATTTCCGTCAGTTCTTTCCCTATGGATCTGCACCTGCTACACTTCTCCTTTCATTTTTGAGGATGAGATACTTTTCTACTTTCTTCTGACAGTAATTTACCTACCATTTATCCAATCATAGAGTCTACTTGAATTTCATAAAACAGAGTGATCGGTACATGATTTTCTGAGGAACGGAGTGAAAACAAGCAGTGCTACAGAATAGCAAAGACTTTCTTGAACCAGTTAATTTTCTATTCTCTTAACTCTGACATTTCGGTTTTGTCCCACCCTCATCTCAGCTACTATCTAGGATAGAGGATATTTTTCCACATTTTCTCAATTTTTCAGACCCCAAATAGTAGAACTGAAATATAACATATGATGTACTATGTAATAGCATTGTTTAATAATACCTTCATTTGTATCTCTTTATACATGAATCTCTGGTTTTTGTCAAAAATGACTTACTTAAGGGTGGGAATAAATTTTCAGCAAACACCAATGTCTATACCTACAACACTCAATGTAGTTATCATATTCATCAGGTGACAGTATCAATAGCTCACTATAAAAAATTCACATACAGAACATTTACTTAATTTTACAACAACTTGCCAGATGACATTAAACAATTAAATTCAATACAAAAGTTTAAGCCTAAGTAAAACCTTTTCTGCTGCACAACTGTTTCTACACAATTAGGGACTGCACCGAGCATCAAAAAGAAAAATAATATTAATTTTAACATTGACATTTAATGTATTATTTACCATTTGGATTGTATAATTCTAAAGAACCTCTAACAAGTATTGTACATCAGCTTCTGGGTCAATGATCCTTATTTTGATCAGGTTTTCATCCAGTTTTCCTGATCCTTGGGCAAATGCTGAGGTGGCCCTTTCTTTTGTTCTGGACAAATTAACTTCTCCCCGTAGCACATCACATACAGTTTTTGACATACATAAATAATTAAAAGCATACATAAATAAATTATACATTTCTTTGATTATCAGGAGAGCAGAATTAACATCACAACGGAATATTCCATTGCATCCCTCTCTGGTAGTGTTTTCAAGTCTCATTTGCTAAAAATGTTTTAGTCTCAAGCATGACCATTTGATAAATGTATTGAACTGTGCGAATGCAAATGTGTAGCAAAGTAACTTCTCACTTCTGAATAGCTTTTTCTGATCTTCTGAACTTCTTATGAAGAAAGTATTGTAATGCTACAAAAAAACAAAATTGATATTTTGACAGAAATACACTTTTGGGGGTTCCTGATACTAAAATGGAGTTGTTATTTGTTGTTTTTTTCTTCAAAACATCTGCCTACCAATTGTCTGTGAACAGCTTCTAGCACCCAAACTATACACAAGATTTTAACTAAAATGGATAATCTGTGATTGATTTGATTGATAACAAGGCCCCTCAAATTTTAAATGTATCTTTTAATTTTTAGGGACCCCTAGGCTTTTTCAAAATTTTCTTTAAAGTGTCTCCATATGTTTTTTAAATTTTGTTGCCTGGATTTAACATTTATTGCTTTTAAAATTGTGTTCTATCTTATTTTTTGTCTGTTCTGTTTAAAAAAGTGTGCTGTCTGACTTTCATTATAATTTTGAGTTTTCAAAAATTCAAAAACTTGTGAACTTGGACTTGTTCTATACCTTTGGAGATAGAGATTTCTCTCTCAATATGATTGAGAGATGAGTGATTTTTCTCTCAATCTGTTCTTCAATATCATAACTTAAAATAATTTCTTGGAAAGCTTTTTGAAATTAATAATAGTTTCTGAGTAATTTGGAAATTCATCATGTTATTGTTTCAAAAATACCTGAATTTGACTTTCTCCAAAATGTATCCTAATTTTTCTTTAATTTTTTTGTATGGATAGAGCACAATGCACTAAATTACATGAAAGCGTCATTTTAATTATCATTTTTGATTTTTCAAAAGTACTTATGTGTTGTTTTTTTGAAATATTTCCCACTTAATGTTTTTATTACAGATGTACTTTATAATTTACTACATTTGTGGGCACAAAATATGCATAAATGTCTTACAAAGTGTCTTTTTCTTTATCCCTGCGATTTCTACCCTAATTGTCATACATATTAAGTTGAGGTACTAACGAAGGGGAAGAATTGAAAAGAAAGACATGGTGTGTGTATTGTAATATTTACTGCCTCTGGAGACTTAAGGACACTTCTTGAAATTTCAATTCGCTTTGCTGAATCAAATTTAAAGCAATTATTAAATTGTTATCTTTAATCAAAATTGTAACCATATTTGTAACGGTATTTAATTTTTTATTTTAGTTTGTAGTATGTACGTTATTTCGAATTTCCACCATGGTACGTCATAATTAAAAATAAATTGCCCGCCATGCCACCATTGTAGTACGTTTGCTTACTCACTGCGATCTATGGGTAATAGTGAGAACTAATGAATACACGACTGTACGACACTTGTTGACAATTGAGTGCTGTGAGCGTCAAACGTGCTTATCAGAAAAGCTTGTCATCGCGAGGTTTGGTTGATTGGTTGGTCTAGTTTATTGGAGAAGTAATTAATTACTGATTCCATAATGCCAGATTTTCTAGGAGATGATATGCGAAAAGTCAAGAAAGATGAAAAAGAAGAGGAAAAAGAAATAAAATGTAAGCATTTATGTATCTTAAGTTCATTCTAAAAATGTTATAGTTCAGTAATTTTCGACTTTTTATTAATTTGTGATAATATAATCGACATTGTTAATAAATACATATAAGTTTTAAACATGCACTCTATTTTTTTTTATATTAGCACTGGATGAAGGTGACATTGCCTTGCTGAAGACCTATGTAAGTTTGTTTTGCTTATTCACCTGTGTTTTCCATTGTGTGGGGTTGAGAAGTCTTACATTGGATGGATTTGTTATTTATAGGGTCAGGGTCAATACACCAAGAGTATTAAAACTGTGGAAGAGGATATACAAACAGTTATCAAGCGTGTGAATGAGTTAACCGGAATCAAAGAGTCAGACACAGGTTTAGCCGCCCCTGCTTTATGGGATTTAGCAGCGGACAAACAAACTCTTCAAAATGAGCAGCCTTTACAGGTGAGCCAACTTTGTGATAAATTTCTTCAATTTTGTAATTTTTGCTCTTAAATAATTACCCCAGTCTAGTATGAATAAGCAATGTTTGACCCCAGTTGTCTTTGAAAGTTTGATGTCTTGCTTGTGTTCTCACTTTCATTGTTATGTTGCATATCTTCTTATCAAGTCAGTGTGTGTTGATTTTTAAAAAGTAGTTGATATGTCATTGATTAGAATTGCATTAAGTTGTATTAATTTTATTTCAGTATCTGTTGAACATTAGGTGACAAATATAGTTACTTTTAATCAATCCTTTAAATTCATTAAATTAAAATAACTTGCTGTACATATTAGTCAGTACTGAAGTGTGTCAGTGACAGACTATAGCATAGTTTTTCCATCAATTATTTTGCAATTTGGGTTAAAGTAGGGTACACAGTGTACCCTAAGAGAAGCATGAAGTGCCGAATTAGTCTTCTGTAAGTTGTACCGTATACTAGACTTAAGTCGCAATTTGTTGTGAGGTCCTTTGTTGACACCCAGACCTTTTGGTGTTTCTCCTAGTACCAGAACAGTATTGTTATGTGACTGTTAATAATAGTAATAAATTCATGTATTTGTGGCTTACATTTTCTTGATACTGCTTAGCTCAGAATAGCTCATTCAGAAATATGTAAAAAGTGTCTGAACATACTGTGCTTAGCCTATTTGGGATCCCAAGTCTGAAGGAAAGTAATTGACTAAAAAATTGATGAAAAATTCAAAACTTGTTTCCTTTGTATATTGTGTTATCACAAATTTTCGCAACCAACTCTTAATAATGATTTTAAAATGCTTATGAACTAAATTCATTTTTAGGTGGCCCGCTGCACGAAAATTATTAATGCAGACTCTGATGATCCAAAGTATATAATTAATGTTAAACAGTTTGCTAAGTTTGTGGTGGATCTTGCCGACTCTGTTGCTCCAACTGACATTGAAGAAGGAATGAGGGTTGGGTAAGTTGCTTCTTACCAGATGTTTGATTACTCATATTTTTTGTAAATTTTTGTGGAGAGAATGCAAATTATACTTCTACGAGTGAATACTTCAGCAAGTTTTTCTTTTTGAAATTTGTGGAAATTAATTACATCATTATATAATTACATTATCATATAACTCTTCACCTGAAAAATATGCTGTAATTACGTGAATCTAATGCACACCCCATATTTGAAACTTATATTTATAAAAGGGTTTGTATTAAATATAATATGCCTCAAAGACAGAATAATAGGTATGGTATTTTTTTTTTTTAATTTATGTAGTACAACAATGGATTGTAAGATGATCTTCACTGTTGGCCCTCCGTATTGTAACTAAAAACACTCAATAATAGGCCAATGATATATGAAACAAAGTTGAATTTGAAAACTTCAGCAATCCATTAACATATTGTAATGAAATAAACTAGTGATGCTACAGAAGGGCACAGACTGTCTCGTTCTAGAAAATTTTCAAATTTCTTTGGTCTGGGCTAACTTTGTGGATTTGCCACATACATTTACTAGCTTCTATCTATCTATCGCCGCCCAAAGTACTCTGAAATTTTTGGTTTCCAAAAAGTAAAACCGAAATATTACTTAAAAATATTAAAGAAGAGTCAAACGTTGTCCTATAAAGAAATTTTTGTTTAAAACTTTGGAGCTGTTTTTAAAAAAATGGTGTTTAAATGTTACTGTAAATGCGAAATTTAAAGCTCTTATTTCACAGATCTTTTGAGTTTTAGAAAAACTTCATTGAACGTTATTTGAAGCACTTTCACTCACGAATGCAATAAGGGGCCATTCAAAAATTACATAACGCTAAAGGGGGGAGGTGGTCTGAGACTGCTTTATGCTGCGTTCTATGGGGGTAGGGAGGTATTAGTTAGGTGTCACATAACATTGTTTTTTGTTGTTATTTTTAATTTTTCAATATTTACTGAAATAATTCTTTGTTTTGTGACCTAAACATTGAAATATTCACTCATTATTTTGTTATAAAAACCTAAATTAAAGTTAATTGGTACAATAATTTTTTTTTGTAAGATTAGAAAACAAAAAAAAATTATTCCAAATTTATATGAAGAATATTCTAGAATCCATTTACATTGGGGGTATAGACTCTTGCTCATGTGTCATCCTTCACAGCATGTGCACAGCTTGTGATCCACCATTTCTCACCCAAACATCATTCTTTCACTCACAATTTGCTCTAATTTTATTGTTAGATTCAGCCAGCATCGCCAACTTTCGACTTTAATTATCATTAATTTTAATATACAACACAATACAAACTTGTTTTATTGTGCCCTAATTTATCTTCACTTCTTGCATGTACAACAAGGGGGGGGGTGTCGCCAGTGTTACGTAATTATTTAGGGGGGTTCAAGCGCATGTTACTGCTTCATTACAAAGGGGAGAGGAGGTATTGAAAATACTACAAATTTGCAGTGTCTAATTTTAAGGACGGTCCCTAATGTATACAAATTGCTGGAAATGTATATATTGAAGGCGTGAGAGATATTTCAAAACAATTTCTATTATTGAAAATACCAATAACAAAAGAATATAGCAAAATAACCTTTACATCATCTTAAACACTGCAATTAAGACTGTCCGTAAGAAACGTTTCAAGAAAAAAGGTGGTGCCTTTTTCGACAAAATGACATTTGAGTGTTTCTGAGAATGCGTAATTTTGAGCCAGCTTTTACAGAAGCAGTTGAGTTTTCGAGGAACTTTTTATGACATTATTTAAAGCACACATTCTCATAAATTCAGTAATGTGAACAAAAGGTCGCTAACATAAATATTTACAATTTGCAAGGCAAGTCAAGTCAAAAAATTACATTTTTGTAATTAAAAAAAACAGAGCAATATGGTGTTTATATCATCTTATATAGTACATTTGGCAAAATCCCTTCCAAACTTTAAAGAACAAATTTGGAGTTGTTTTTGAGAAAATCTTGTTTTTGTAATTTTTTAAAATTGCACATATTGCTTGCAATATTGCGCGAAAACTACTAATATTTTTTAAAAAAGTGCCTTACCTTAATAGAATCCATTTTGGAGAACAAATTTTATTTCAAGGAAAAATCTCTATCTTCAATTTTAGAGTTGTAGAAAGAAGTCTGAAAAGTTTTGAAATTATCGAAAATTCACAGTTAAACCTGGAAATTAGACCTGAATATTTTGAAAGTGTCCAAGGGACTTCGTGTAAAGTACCTCCAAATTGTAAAGAATTTTTTTTCAAAATCTCTAAGATTCGACTTGAGCCAGGGTTTCTTCAATTTGGAAAAAATCCTAAGTATGGTTTGGCGGTAGTGGTGTTCACAGCCAGACGGATGTTTAAAACAAAAACCTTTTTTCTGTCAGGGGACCCCAAAATGAGTAGTCCCGTTGAAATCCCAAAATCAATTTTCCACAGCATTACATAACTTTCCTTATGCTACATATTATACTCCAGATATACCTACGAATAAGGGAAAGTAAAAATTCTATGATATTCTACGGAACGGATTTGTACTTGAATCTAATGCAACACATGATTTTGTGTACTATGTTTGAGCTAAAAAGGTGCACATTACATTTGTGTAAATAAGGTATTTCAAATAGCCATTGGTTATTTGTTTGTCAATAAATTAATAAAAAATAAATTTATGATTGTTTATATGTATGTATGATTGGCTTGTATATTTCTGTTTGAACAGAGTGGACCGTAACAAGTACCAGATTCACATCCCTCTGCCCCCAAAGATTGACCCTACAGTGACCATGATGCAGGTGGAAGAGAAACCAGATGTGACGTACAGTGATGTGGGAGGGTGTAAAGAACAGATAGAGAAATTGAGGGAAGTTGTAGAGACTCCTCTCCTGCACGTAAGTGACTTCTGCACTGCCTTGCCGCTGCAACGGCCTACACTTTGCTTGTTATAAATATGTATGAAGTTACATACATTGTCTGTTTCCCTCCCTGCCAAAAGTTTCCCCTCGTCTTCCCCATCGTAGATTTCCCCCGCGCCGGATTGGTGTGAAGTGCTGGTTTAAACAACTTCCTTAAGTTATACCATGTTCAAAACTTCAGTTGTGGTTTCTAGCTTTTGCTAAAACAGGATGGCACATCCTGGAAAACTAAATGTCAAGGTGTTTAATTATATCAGGGGGGAAAAGGTAGTTTCATTGGCAGTTTGTGAAATTTTTTCACACCATCTTTGAGTTTCAGGACTAGAGTGAGTCAAGCCATATGCTTTGCTCACATATAATCGCAACAGCATTTCTGCCTCAAGCACGAGTGTCCTGCGCAGTACAATGATTCAGTGCCAGAGCAATGGCTTTAGTGTCTTTGTTTTGCCACATCAGAAAGGGATAAGGGATGTGCAACAGCATTTCAAAATACTTAATAAAAATGAGAAAACTTTCAAGTTAATATTCCATTTCTTGTAGCTACATTTACGACAATTAAAAGAACTAAATTTGCAGTGGAAATAATTCTGTAATAATAGGCATATAGATTTCATTTCAAAATTGTGAATCCAAAGAATGTCTTTAATTATTTTTAACATTAGTCTATTTTTCTAATATAAAGTTAATATGCTACACAGAAGGGTCTTTTACTTGCTGCATTTGCAGCAGGGATTAAAGATATTATCGCTACTTCTGTCAACCTATTGTAAACTTCACTTTTCATTCTCTTTGCACTCATTGTTTTGAGGTTTTAACTTTGCAGTGACTTATACTTTTCGATTTTGACTTGAAATCATGACTCAGTTGGCAGAGTCACTTGTACTGAGTATCAAAATCTTGGATTTCACAGCCAAGCAATAAGCAATTTTTGCTCATGAGCCGCTCATGTCAAATGGAGCATAAACCTGTTATACTGGACTGCCATCTAGAGAATTTTGTGTTAACTTCTATTGTGCCCAGGCAAAAGAGTTTTGTGCATGACTAGTGTAGATTCAATGTTGCCCTTTTTTGTCTGAATCTCTTGTATTCTAAATATGTTTACAGAAAAATGGCTATTAGTACAGTTCCTTCACAGAGGTTATAAGAATAAGGGAAGTGAAGTTTATCTTAGGCTACAAAATACAGTATTTTTGCAAATACATGCTTGAATATCAAATACAAAAACACACAATTCATTGTTTTAGCTCTCTTTCCTTTTTAACTTCACCATTTGTTTCTTCCTATTTGTTTTCTTGATTGCCAAAGTTGCTACTCACACCCTGATGAAACTTAAGAGCCTGCATAAAAAGAATCTACTATTACATGAAACACAAAATATTTCTCCCGTGAGTCAGCATCTCTTAATGTACTTGATCTAAGTACTCTGCGAATGCATTCCATTGCATGAAGATACTGAATCAAAAGTAATTTTTGTTTCTTATAAGACTTAAAACTCAAAATTGTAAAATGCCAAGAGGTGGTTATCATTCAATATGGGTCAATGTATGAAGTATACCTATAATATTTACACATATCTTACACAAAATTCAGATGGTTCCATGAAAAATTGATGACTAATAGAGGTAACTGTTTTGGCAGATTTCAATGTATTTGATTAAATTCAGAGAAGAATTTAATTTGCAAGGCTCTTCTTACTGCTGGAGGAATATGTTAAGTTTTGTTTTATGAGAGTTTGATATGCTATAATCTGGAGTACATTTCTGGCAGTATTGAAAAAATAAAACCTGTTATAGATTAATATTTTGCATTATGTGGTGGTGTGTGTGGGTTGGGACACACGTTCTTTGATTTTTACTATCTTCGTTTTGTTTTTGTACAGCCAGAGAAGTTTGTGAATCTGGGCATCGAACCTCCAAAAGGTGTACTTCTGTTTGGTCCCCCTGGAACAGGCAAGACACTTTGTGCCCGTGCGGTTGCCAACCGAACAGATGCATGCTTCATTCGTGTCATTGGTTCTGAACTGGTCCAGAAGTATGTGGGCGAGGTAAATGAAATAAGTTTGTTTTTTTGTTTTAGATAATACATTCATAGAGCTGGTACATTCATAGAATATACATTGTCAGTCACAGTGTTGTATGTATCATGAGTCAACTTGTTGCACCACCAAAACTGATGAATTCTTTTGAAGAAAAAAATGATGTTGTACCTTTTGGATGAAACTGTGACATTTAAAATAATCCTAGATAATCATTTGGATTCCTTTGTTAAAATTTACTTGGCAAATTATCATCCTAAGAGAGTTTAAGCTTGTATACTGCTAACAAGCAGCAACAACACCAAATTTCTTGAGCCGATCAAATGTCTTGACAAGACAATTTGATTGAAATTTATTTTGAACAAGGCTTAATCTTGAAATTGATTAAGTAGATTAAAATCTCCTTCATAACTGATACCCTACGAAAGAGCTCTACTTAACAGGTTGCTGAGGATATACAATAAAATAAGAATTTGCATTATAGTAAGTCTTTCCATTTTTGAATGTCTTGTTTTGTGTAATTCAATAGTCTCAAAACTAGACTAAAATCAGGAATGTTTTCTTTTCCAGGGCAACACCAACAACATTTTTTTCTCAAATCAATATAAAAATATGAAACCACTACATATCAACTAAATTAGTATTATTTAATCTTCAGCAAACTAGATTGAACATTGTTTTCCTTTCTTAGATTGAACATGATTTCAAAAATTATGTAGAGGTGCATTAGTTTGTTTGAATGACTTAGTGTTGTTTTCAATTAATCATGGACTCTCGCCTTAAAAACAAAACAATGTATATTGACTCTATTTTCTTAATTTCTTAAAAATGTATTACTCTGTTCACAGGGAGCAAGAATGGTTCGTGAGCTGTTTGAGATGGCTCGCAGCAAGAAAGCTTGCCTCATTTTCTTTGATGAAATTGATGCTATTGGAGGAGCACGATTCGATGATGGTGCTGGAGGTGACAATGAGGTGCAGAGAACTATGCTTGAGCTCATCAACCAGTTGGATGGATTTGATCCTCGAGGGAACATTAAGGTGACATTTTATGTTGTTTCTGGATTGTATGGGGAGAGATTGAAGTAGGTTGTTACGTTTTGGGTGTAAAGCAAAAGATGATCTTCAATTTGAAATACATAAAATGCAAGTATTGAAATGAAGGTGCCAAGGTACAAGATGATGTGGATTCCTTGAGAAGTGACGTATCAAATTTTATTTGAATTATCTGAATACCGTTTTTACCTGAATATAAGGCAACTCTGATTACACAATGACCTCCTGATTTTAAAGAGGATTTCTGAGAAATTTTCAACTTGTAACTACTTCTTACTATTTAGTCTAAAGCACAAATTGTCTAATAGACTGTCTTGATAATGTTAAAATTTTTGTCTAAACTATTTTCTTGATTTTTAAAAGCATTGTTGTTATTTTCGTCATCATCATTGCTATCTTTATTTAGACATGTATCGTATTTCTTTTTGGTCCTTTTCCTGTTCTGCATCATTTTCCGAATTTTTAGGCCCCCGGAAAGTTTTGTATATTGAATTTGCATTTGTCTTTTTTTCTTTCTGTTGTGACCTTTCATTCTTTAACAACCACGTGATCGAGTTCTGGACTGCAAAACCATATTTCTCCATATTTCCATCCCACGGGTGACAAGAAGGAGTGAAGTTACCAATGTTTGCAAAATTTTTGCAATAATTTATTACTATTATTATTATTGTTATTATTGTTATTATTATTATTATTGTTATTATTATTATTATATCTCTGAATGTATGTAGAATGTGCACTATCAATGTGAATGTTTTCATTTCCATCTGTTGTGGAACGCATATTCACAGTTGTTAAGCAATCCAAACCAAATGTTTAGGCAGCATTTGGATATCATGTAACAAAAAAATTTGCAACAATTTTTAATTTTCATATGATTTTTCACTTATTACTATGCTATTTACTTGAGATCCTCTCTCTATTCCATTCAGAAATACTGGTCTGGATCTCGGGGCAAATTTGCTTTGGATGCTAAGAATACATTTGCTGATATAATTATGATAGATATGAGAGATATTTATTGTAATGTCCATGCAACATTATTACGATGACTGCCTTTTCTTGAACCATCTTAATGCGAATTTTGGTTGTTGGAAACAGTACAGAGTTTTTACTCATTACGGTACTTACTTTGCAGACTGTCCTTGAGTTGAAATGGAGTTGGCACAAGTGAGGAGTCCTTTTTTCACCAGTAAATAAAACTCTTACCTTTTGCTAGATATCCTTTGAAAATTCCTTTTATGTTCAGCATAGGAATGACTAAAATCTCATTAACATCTTCCCTGTAACCATGAATTCTTCCATAGTACATCTGTTTTTTAAAGACCTGGCTCTGATTCCATTAAATTACTCATTTACATGTTTGGGAATCCTGCTTTGTATGTTTAAAATTATGCGTAATACGTTGCTTTTACGGGTGATGCAGCACGATCTACGATGTGTGTTGTTTCCAAGGTACTAAAAATGATTGAGGGAACTAGATAATATAGAAGGATTCCTTCAGCGAGTTTCCAGGTTGTTTTCAGTCCATTTGATTATGCATCCTTAGCCAGAAAAAGTGTTCTACTGTACCTTTGCCATCTTCATTCTTTCTGTTTTTGTGTTATGTTTTGTTGTCTAGCATGTATTTCTTTGAATTTGATAGGTGGAGAATGCTAGTTTAATTGTTGGATTTCTTTGGGTTCATGGATTTTAGGGTTTGTGAATTATTATTTGCAGTGAAATTAGTTTATCTTGCTTGCACTTGCGTATTAATTACAAGTAAATTAGTTTCTATGTAGTAATTCGAAGAAGAAGAAAAGGTGAAATGACCGTATATTCACAAATATATTGCAAAAGAATGAAAAAGAGTTGAGGGTTTCCTTTTGATATGGTGATAATTTCTATAGTTGAATTCAATTTTTGCTGCAGGTCCTCATGGCTACAAACAGGCCTGACACTTTGGATCCAGCTTTGATGCGCCCTGGCCGCCTGGACCGGAAAGTGGAATTTGGTCTTCCTGATCTGGAGGGCCGGACACACATTTTCAAGATTCATGCGCGGTCTATGAGTGTGGAGCGTGACATTCGCTTTGAATTGTTGGCTAGGTTATGTCCCAACAGCACAGGTAAAATCTTTGAAACATGCACTCTGAATACGCTTGTTACTTCCCACTATTTATTTATTAATTGACAGTGTTTCATTATTAATGTTTTGATTTGATTGATGTAATTCATCATTTTTGATAAAAAGTATTGATTTTAGTGTGTTGAAATTCTCAGTCTACTACATATAGCTATTATGCATTTAGCTAGTAGGAATGTTTGGTTGTCAACAATGGCTCTAAGTCATTATTTCAATCATTGCATCAAAAGTAACTTGTAAAATCCATTATATGACTACTATTTATGTTTTAAAAAAATTATTAATACAACATCATCTAACCAGGAAATGGTCTGTTGTGTGAATGTCTAAACCTGTTTTGATTTTTTATTCACTGATGAGCAGAGTCATATATCATTTGGATAATTTGTTTTGCCAAAACAAACTGAAAGTTATTAAAAAAACATTATGAATTCAATTTTCCTCATTGTTTTGCTATGAAACTTGTGCTTGTTCAGCCCTGCTCTACCCTTATATGTAAGCACAATTTAATTGCATAGTTTAGTAGTGAGTTGGGGAGTATCTTCTGAGGGCTATCTGAATCTACCACTGAAGAAAAATGAAGATGAGTTTCAACATGGCGTGAAAGACTCGATTTCCTCGATTAGGCGAATATAGATTAATAATGAAGTCTATTAATCCTGTTAAACATCTCAGAATATTTTTAAAACACAAAAATCTAAAATTTGGTAGACATTTAACACCAGCCATTGAGTTTGATGACATAGATTTTTTTGTTTCAACCACATTTGTCCCAATGTGAATATAAGAGAGAGAAAAATAAAAATCTGTATAAAATTTTAATTGCCAAATATAAAGCAAGTCATAAAATTGTTAGGTGTAATTTTAATTAATCTCACCTTTAGAGAATTGTTATTAACAAATAATTTTACTGGACTCCATTAAATTTTTGTAGGCAAACTGATATTAAGCCAGATACATGCATGGGTGTTGTTTTAGTGTTGGATTTTACCATTTACTACTACTGTGTTACAGGAGCTGAAATTCGGTCTGTGTGCACTGAAGCTGGAATGTTTGCTATTCGTGCTCGACGAAAGGTTGCAACTGAAAAAGACTTTTTGGAAGCTGTAAATAAGGTCATCAAGTCTTATGCTAAGTTCTCAGCAACTCCTCGTTATATGACATACAATTAGATTAATGATATTGAAATTATATGTGTGATTTTGAACGAGATTTGTGTTTTGAGCCTGAATAAAAGTGTTCTCAAGTACATTTTGAAAGGAATCTGTTAATTACTTAACTGTTTTTTCTTCAGTTGTGTGTGATATTTTGAAATGTATTGCTGCAGTATGGTAACAATTTTGCCAAGTACAAATTAACATTTGTGCAAAAGTATTGATATTGGAATAAAACCTAATCAGTGATCATGTTATGATTAATTAGTTATGTCAAGAAATCATAAAACAATGTGTAATTACATTTGTATTTCAAAATGAATATGAATGGTTGTGGTTGAGATGTAGGACTTCAAATTCTTGTTTGTTTAAAGATAACCTTTTTCTGAAAACTGATATAGAGAAAATATTTTTTTACAGTAACTTCCATTTGTGAATATAATTGTTGGCAACACTTTTTTACAACACATTGTTCAAAAAGACCATTCAATTTAGAACCTAATTTAGTACCTAATCTTGTGTTTCAAGAAACATTACAAGTAACATAGAGGAAAAGTATACCAGTTTAACTTATCTTGAATCAACCCTATACTGTTACACATATTGTCAAAAATGTTTCTAACGAAATATATGTATGTACTTGCATTTTAAAAGCAACATTGAATTCATGTAGCACTTAAAATTATTCCAATGGCAGTAGTATTTATAAGATGTTGATTTACAATTGAAATATGCAACAATAATCTCTGAAATGATTCTCACTTTTTTGCGTTTTCTCCATTTGCAAAGGTTTTCATTTTTGTATTTGTCCATTATGTCTTGCCTTGAAATTGTTCAATTTGACTGTGAGCCAAATTTTCTTTGTTTTAAAATGCATCAAGAACCAATATATATTCCAGAAAATGTACATAAGTCATCTCTATGGCTATGGCTTGTTTGAAATCCAAAATAATTTTAAGAACTGGCGTATCTCATGCTGAATACAATTAATACTGAAAGTGAGAGATTAATGTAATCAAATTAGGAACAACTTTTTTATGAAACTAATCAAGGGTATTGACATGGGTACTTATTGTATAATCTGTTCTCTTAATAATCACTTTTGAGATCTGGAAGTGAAGGCTAATGCTTCTCTGCCTTCTCGATATCAAATCTTTTTTAAAAAGGCAATGAAATGAATGGAGTGGCTGTCAGCAAGTATGATTGTTATCGATTTTTCTCTTTCATACCTTAGTTTGTAAGAAGAGGAAGTTCTTGATTGTGCGCCAGAAATTGCTATGGATATTTTGACACAAAAACTCTTATTGCAGAGTCCAGGTAATGAAAAATGGGATACATTTTCTGTTCCTATGTGTAGTAAATTACTTTTTCTAACATATTGTGTAGACAGAATCCATATTTTATGAGTCCTTGTCACTAAAAAATTGATTGACAGAAAAACTTATGTCCATGGTCAATGCTAGCACCTAAACTGTTCTGAAGATTTTCTCAAAAGTTGATATTCCCCAATCAACATGAAAAAACTTGAGGCCCTGTGACATTGAAACAGATATTTTGTGGTTACTTTAGGTAAAGCTTTAAAAAACGTGTTCAAAGTTGGCACCAATTTTTTTAGATTTTGTCTGCGAAAGCATAAAGAACTCTTAAAAAAAGTGATGCAGGCATTTTTGTTGAAATCTCTGATTTTTTGAAAATTGCAAAAGTTCTGAACTTTTCAGTATCTTCCTACACCTAGAATGTGAAAATAGGGATTTTTTTCCTTTATGAAATCTGTTGTTCTAAGATTTCTTGAAATAAGATCATGTACAATTTCTTGAAAGTGTGAGTTTTTGTGTGAAATGTATGCTATTTTTAAACAATTATTTATCGCAAAAATGGCTTGAAATTTTTTCTTTCTATGTAGCAAAGGATGATAAAAAAAAATGGTGCTGGTCCCATTTTCATCTAACTGTGTGTTTGCAAAAATTGGAAAAAAAAATGTAATAATACAATATTGATGATAGAGATTTTTTTCTTTTAGAAAATCTGTTCTAAAAAGTCAGATCTTTTAAAATGGACGTATACAATTTTTTAAAAAATAAAAAGTTTTTACATATTTTCTGCTATAAGGTAACGCAAATTAAAAAAAAATCCCCAAAACAGCTCCAAATTTTTTCCAAACATAGAGCAGAAGATGCTGAACTTAGATCTGGTTTTTTTTCATTGAACTTAGCAATTTTAAGGTAATTTTCTCAGAAATTTAAAAAACTAAATAAATGATTTCAAGCACTTGCACTCACAAATGCAACAATGTATAAAATATTATATATTATAAAATATTATATGAGATAAGTGAAATATTTTTTTTAAAAAGTGTGTAATTTTTGTAAAATCAAAGGAATTTATTAAAATATCATTTATTGTATGTCATGTTATTCATACGCAATTAGCACTTATGCTATAAAAAAGTTGAAAGAAAAAATTCGAAGTAGTTTTTTGAGAAAACTTTATAATATTGGTATTATTTCACTTAAATTTTTATGAGAATTACTAATATTTTCAAAAAATGTGCATTGCATAAATTAAAGAACTAATTGTGGAAAGCAAATTTAATTTAAAAAAAAACTCAAATCTTCAAAATTCTAGTTCCAGAAAGATGCTGAAAAATTGAACTATTGCAATTTTCAAAAATTCAGAGAATTAAATGAAAATGAGATGTGTCATTTTTATTAGTGTTTTTTGTATCATCTAAGAAGAAGAAGAAAAATAGCCATTTTTGATAAAATTTTTAAAATATAGATGTACTGTACCCCTATAAATCAAAATATCTATTTCAAATTTGAGCTGAAACATTAGCCTGATTGATCGGGGATAACAATTGCGGTGAAAATCCTTCCAATGGTTTAGCCGCTAGCTTAGTTCACAGATGGACAGAATTTTGCTGTAACAAGGTCCCACAAAATGTGTATTCTGACTTCACAACTTTTTAGAGAAAGTAATTTACTACCTTTTGGAACAATATTTACCCAATTTTTTGGTGACAGGGCCCCATAATATGAGATTTTCTATTAAAACATCACCATTTTCGCTGCAACATTTCAATAGTTTCTCTGTACTTCATGTAAAGAATGCGAGAAAAAAATTAAATCATCAAAATCGCAGAGGGACACTTTGCAATATTTTCTTGTCAGTTAAGAGGGGAATATTAGTGGAAAGGGCCACAGTTCATGTGGGGGACTCCATACAGGGAATACGCCCTGCTTCAATAAATTGCCTTTAATTTAGGATCATCAAGGGCAGATTAATATATAAGCTGTCCAAACACAGGCATAATTTCCCTCCAGAAATGGAATTGGCCTTATGGTTTTGAACTGAAAGGTGTATTAGTTCTTAAATACCGAGCAGTAATGGTTAATTATAAGTGTATTAAATCTGCTTATTATTATTATTGTTCAAAAATAATTACCAATTCAGATTTTAAATTATTGGAGCTACAAAATGCACAGACTTTCTCATTATAGTTAGTTTTTTAATCTCTCTATTCTGGATTTGCTTTTTGTTTTACCCCATCCTCATTCCAGCTGCCATCTACGGGCACCTAAAATATAGTTTTTCTCAATATCACATATTTTCAGTCCCTTAAAAGAAGAATGAAAAAATGAATTTAATAGTACTATTATGAAAGAGTAAAACCAGGTTCTAGCAGTAGTGTTGACAACAGATAACAGACATACGTTTTGCTGTCAATCAACCCGCAAAATATGGATTCTGATGTTTAGGAACAAGATATATCCACTTTTTTGTTCTCTGATTTCTGTGGCAGGGTTATAGAACTTTCCTAGAGAATTTAAAAAAAGTATGATTGCGTTTCAAAAATATTTAGGAAAGTAATTTATAATACAAAATATTTAAAGTACACATCTCACACTATAGGTTGTTGGTAGAGGTTGGCCATTTGTGAATTGTCATGATCAGGTAGTGAATTTTTAAGTAACCAAGTGAAAATGTGCTTATTAAATATATGTATTTAATTTTTTCAAAAATTAAATTACAAATATATAATATGAAAAAAAACAATACTAATATTTGAAAATAAGACAGTGAAGCGATTAAAATTTCTAAATAAAATGTTAGTTACTCAAATGAAAACGGACGCTGATAAGGCTGAAACAGATTTGTATACCCGTGGTCAACGAAAGTCTCGCTTTCGTTGGCTACGGTACACAGTGATTGACCGTTTACAACAGGTTGTCCAACTGGCGGGCTGCATGCGGCTCGCGGTGCCATTTATTGTGGCACTCGAAAGGTTATTTGGCAACAGTGGACGTTCCTTGCCACCATGTGGAGTGAGAATGTAGTGCGCCTAGCGCACGTTCTGGGGGTCAAACACCACCTTAATATGAAAATAAGTCGAGTTTTGATTTAAGGCAATTTCCCCCCTAGTAAATTCAAAATCATCCCAGTGTATTTCACTGTGTTATGCGTGGTACGACTTGATATTACTCATGGTTCCATTTCCCTCCCCCCTTTTCAGAGCACCTGGGTAAAGTGCCGAGATCAACAATACGGGGATTGCCCGAGTAATGAAAACATGGCCCGCAACCATATTATCAGTGTTATTTGTGGCCCTTGAGCGCTTGCAAGTTCGATGCCCTACATACTACATTAATTTTACAGAAGCAACTGAAGAGTTACTGGGGGTTCGGTGGGTGAGAGGTTTATTGGCGTCTGAACCTCCAGTGCGCGGTCTCGATCCCGACCGAGGTGCCCGGAAGGGCGGAAAATTCGTAGTAGCCATGTCACACTTGTGGCTTGTAAAAGAATCCTGGCGGTATGTCCGGCAAAATTAAATCCCTCCGACAACATCACGCCCTGTCTAGATGTCACTTTCTCCAGCCAGACAGCTCGCTTGTAGTTAACTCGAGTCCTACATCTGGTGGAGAAAGTGATAGTCAAATCCCAGACGCAATTAGGGATCGTCCGCGTGGTGCGCCTGCTCGATAAAGCCTCCTTCCAACGTCGCGACGGCGGCGCGTTTCCGTCAAGCAGCAGAGCCCTTCCGACGCCGCCACCGCCGCAGCCACGGCCGCGCCGCCACCTGCCGTGTGAGGGGGGTGGGTTCTGCAGGGGTAGGTTTCGCCGACCCTCCGGCGACGTCGAACAAAGGGACCGCAGCAGGTAAAACGCAGCGATCGCGGCACAGTGGGAAGGCTACCATTTAAAGCCTTATATATATATATATATATTCGACGTGGGCTCGGGTTCGTAGGCTTCCGCGGCCGGAGTCAATGCATTCTTGGCTATCCGGGATGAGCCGCGTCTCTGTCAATTGTACGCGGACCGAGACGCGGCTCGTCCCGGATAGCCAAGAATGCATCGGCCCTTTTTTCCCTCCGCGGAATGCAGAGATTCATTTCATACAGGGGAAACGCTGAGCCTCAATAAATTATCTCCACGTCACGGGGGCTTGGACGACTAGTTACGCGTTGACCGACTTAGCGCAAAGGGTCGTTCTGTAACATCATAGTCATATCTAATAAGGTCAGGCGCGCGGCGTTTTTCGCGCCTTTGGCACGTTTGGCGGCGGCGGACACTTCGTCGCGGGCGGTGCGACCCAGGGCGTCGCGCAGAGCCGGGCTGGCGCCGCCGTTCAGCAGTCGGATCGCAGCCGTCACGTGAGCACGCGCAGCGGCCTCGTGCAGAGCCGTGCGCCCACGCGCGTCCTGCGGCACACGAGGCGAATGCCACGTCAGGGTGATCGACACGACGTTTGGTTACACTTCGTCTGATTTACCACTAAATTTGGGTCCTTTTCTGCCCTTACTTACTCACGCAGGGGGTACACGACCACACGGGGGCGTTCTCAGGCTGTGCAGCTGAAGGAACTTCCCCCAGGCTCCAACTTAGGTGGGGCGTCGAGAGTTCCTCAAGTAGTTTTACTTATGCCTATCCTACTTCGACATAGGGAGTTTTAGCGCCACGCATAAGGTTATGCACTGTCACGTGACGGACCTTCAAGTCATAACGTCTTACCTTAGGCGTAAAGTACGACTTTGTACCTTCATAAATAGTGCACGCCTGTGGGAGTGTCTACGGTCACCTTACAAGCGGCAAAATGGCCGCATAAAAACAGGAAATGTTGAATTTTTCCAACTCCGGTAAACCGATTCTCGTATATGAGGCAGATACAATTATTCCTTACCACCTCCACAACGCTGGCAAGAATTAACGACATATGTTGGAGAGGTGACAGGAAAGAAATTCGCTAAAAAGGAGATTAAATCATATCTTCGGGATAGGTTATGCCTTATGCTCATAATGAACGCTGTTTTAAGGTATTTCCAATATTTTCAAGAAAAGCAGATTCAAAATTTCAGACTGCATACTCATTACGTAGGGGCACAAAATCTAAAACTCCATGCACAATGTATATTTGTTATTCTCTTGACTCGTAACGTGTTTTAAATGTCTCACCACTAGCCTACACTCTTTGATATATTATGCAATTTCTCTGTTCAACGCTTGAAATGCTTCCTTTGTTATAATGCATAACGCAATGTTGCAATTGCTAAAACTCTTCAGAAAGTTGTTCATTACGACCGTATAAAGGCGCTAGTCACGGGATGAATAGTTTAGGGATATCTCCTTACACCTGGTGCTAAAACTCCCTACTGAAAAGAGCCGTTACTTGGCAATAGCCCGTGTGGTTACTTCAATCCTGAGATTTTATACAGAGACAGAATCACATAAGAACAACAGTAATAATAATAATAATAATAATAATAATAATAATAATAATAATAATAATAATAATAATAATAAGAGAAGCCGGCCCGGATAGCTGAGGTCACTAAGGCTAAAGAGCTGTGGCTGCCTCGTGCCTGAAGGATCACGGGTTCGAATCCCACTCGGAGCATGGATGTTTGTGTGTGTCTTTGTAAATGTGCATTCGTCCTTCATCATCACCATCATTCATATCTCACTCCCAAGAGCTAACAACATTGGGGTGTAAAAACGGATTCAGCATGGAAATGCCGATCCCCCGCTGCCTCCCCAATCTCGTGCACTTACCCCAGGGAAAATATGACTGGGCATCCGTGCGTATAGTTGCACGTTCGCGTGGTCCTATAAGGACCGACTCGCAACCAATAAGCGACTTAAGGAAATAAGGGACTTTCATGAAACTTCTGACCCATGCCCCTTATTTTCATTGGGCGCCCCTGCTACCACAGTGTCTGGACAACAGTCAGGAGCTTGGAGCTTGTCCCGGCTAGGGGGTGTCTGTGCCCCGCTTGTGGAAGATACCTGGATGGGGAAACGCAGTAAGCCCACGAGGTTGATCGGCACCACCCAAGGGCGTAGCGTCATGGATGCGAGTGATGCGTCGTAATCCGTTGTTAATCGGTAGGTTTCGTGATTTTTAACCTATACTGCACATGTTTCTCATTTTCTCTTAGCAAAAATATATTGCCCTTTCTTTGGACCACTGTATCGGTTATGATACCTGGTTTTGTAACACTGTGGTTTGTCATAAGAGAGTCACATCAGTTCCCTACGTTCATTGGCCTCCGAGCGTGGTAGTATGTGGACTCGGCGGAAGCAGTTCAAATTTTCTTCGCCAGGGGGAGTTGTTTATATAGCAGTTAAACATCTTAACCTTTACCTCCAGACATGAAGTTCGGGAACGCGAACAAAGACATGCAGTCAAACTGACCCCTCTCATAAAATTTTTATTTTACGAACACACGATTGGAAATTTCATTTGTATTTTCGTAATATCGATTATTTGTATTTGTTTGCTAACACAATTTCATAAACATACATTGATTATTCGAAAAAATGGCGGAAAATTCAATCTTAAATTCAATACATTTTTTCTCATCATTAACCATTTATATTTAATAACAATATAGAGTATTAACTCAATGTATTTGTATTAAACAAATAACATAAAAGCACATAGGACACTGTTTTTTCCAATAGGCATAGTGATATTGTTTTTTCCTGAGTTTTCTGGAAAAATTGAAACAGTATTTGCGCTGTGTTAAATTTTATTCTTCCTTGCTGTCATTAGATTCTATTTATTCTTCGCCTAGCATCTTGTAAATGCTTTTCCGCACCTCCTGCCGCAGTTGAATATTCAGTAATCGTCTTTCCATTTATTCCCTTAGAAGAATTGTGGCCAAACATACAAGAAAATTGAATCTCTCGTTTGGCACGAAGTAAAAAATAACTTAAGACATATCACAACACTTCACAAAAATGAGAAGCATGTATCAAATTAGCCCCATCTGATGGGGCTAATGCAATACATTGATGGGACTAAAGTGATGCAGCTTAATATCTCTATAAATTTTGACTGAGAAACGAGAGACTTACAGTGAGACACCTTAGGGGCCAGTGTCTCAAAAGTTTTTTTTTTATTTGTTCATCTTTTGTTGTGCCTAAATATTGCAACATTTTGATATCCTGTTACATAGTAATTAATAATATAATATATTTCCTATCATTTGATACGTTTTGTTAATTTTGGATGCCAATAAGTACCTACCAATGGCGTCTGAGCTCTAGGTCCCTGTAAGTACTGAAGGCAACGAGCTAGTATATACTGCATTGAGTGTCTGAAGGACCCCTATCTTTGAAGCAAAGTGAAGCCATGTTTTTTGCAGTCAAAGCAACGCCCTCTGGAAAACAGAGTATTATATAATGCGATTTATGCAACTCTACCCCTCGCAGGTCTCAACTGTTCACGGTTTCATCCAATCGAGAGCTTGGACGTCACAATAGTGACGTCACCATGGTGACTTTTAAGCTTCCGAATGAATGAAACTGCCAACAGCTGAGAGGCAGAGGTGCGAAAATCGCAGTATAGCATTACCTTGGGCGCTGATTACGGACGGTTACACCGCCAATCGTATGTTTTGACTTCAAAAAACATGGCGGCCACTAGTTCGGCGAGCCTCCACCATGAGCGCTGAATCTATAGGGAGAGCCACTCCATCTACTATATTCTAGCTCCTTGACTGAAGGCAACCAGTATCTTATTGACAAACTATTTGCCACTTTTTATCGCATCCCGTACCCGATCATTCGGGAGACACCACAATCACCACAATTTTCCGGGGTATACGAGTAATATATCCCGGGACAAATGACCATAATTCTCGTCGCTCACAATTCACGGAGACAGCAAATACTTCCCACTCTCTTAGGGGAACAAGGCACGTGTGTCCCATCGCGGAGCCGGGCGTGTTTTGGAGTGGCATGGCTGGACCTCACGTAGCGTGGCAGTGAGAAGCTTGCCGATGATTTTGATTGGTAGATTACCAGTGATTCCGGGTGCGTGAACGGCTAAGATCATTGTTCCCGTAAATGAAGTGTATAGTTTTTGCTCGGGAGGGGGCGGAGATCCAGTCCCGCTGGATGGCGAGATATGTCGCCGACCTACCGGCGGCAAGCAGGGTTTTCTCCAATCAGATAGCTACCACCAGCGGGGCACCGCCCCAGCCGGGACAAACCCCAAGCTTACGACCGGTCTCAGGGCATGTGTGCTTGTGTAGTGCGTGTAAGGGTTAAGTGGAAGGGGTAAGGACAGAACAAGGACTGGGAAGGAAAGATCGCGCTCGGTCCGTGGCCCGTTTATTAGGGTACTCTCCGACATTCGCGTGGTGCTGATCGGAGAAACCACGGAAAACTACCGTTCAGAGCAGCGGGCCGCTATAGCATTCTCCTCCAGACAGCAACTGAATACGACCTAGCTGTCAAGGTAGTGTCGAAATCAAGCCAACCAGTGGCGCATCTTCGACCTACGACGCTCTCGATATAGATGCCTTCTCAATGTGAGAGCGGAGTCCGCTTGAAGGCCACCTCGTTCCCGGGTCAGCACGAGGGGGCGCGCGGGGTTAGTTGAGGTCCGGCGAGGAATCGGCCGCGTCGCGCACTGCCGGGCGCTGGTGGCAGAGTTAGGCCACTCCGCTGGCCAAGGCGATTTGCAAACGTGGAGCTCCCCTCCTTTTCATTTACCGTCCCCCTCACGATGGCTTGTTAGAGTGTTTCCTGAATTTATACATTTACATACTTTTGAAAAATGTTGTTGGAAAATTTTATTTTATTACTGTTCTGAAGTCCCGAGAAACGTGTGAAACAAGAAAGTGTTCAACAATAATAATTATATTTTAAACGATTTAAAATGTACTCACTTTCGCTTTATATGATATCATTGAATTTGATAGTTGTATTTATGAGCAAAAATTGTCTCGAAAATTAATACTGGGTTACAAAAATAAAGTGACCGAAACGTTTAATGATTTTAAAAATTGTTTAAAAAAGTTTCCATGTCGTTGAGGCCTCAATCGGGTGCCCTAGGCAATTGCCCAGTGCCTCCTGTGGACTTATCTACCACTGGTATGGTGGGGTGGGCCTTAGCTGAGCACGTCAGAGCGGAGTTCATGCGTGGTCTGCGGGGCAGGGGCGTATCGTGGCGTGGCATGACGAATTGTGGCGTGGCGTGGCGTGGCCTGGCGTGGGAGGACGGGGTGGCGGTGGCGGTGGGGGGGGGGTGACATCGCGAAACGTGTTGTTCGGTGGCGCAGGGCGGGATCGCGTCTGCGCAGGTGGGCACGGTCTCTGATGGAGAGTTGTAGACGATCACCCGGACCCTAAGTATCACGGCGGCACTCACGTCGTTAGTCTCGAGGTGGAGGCAGTGAGTAGGCCATGTACAAGCTCCTGGTTGTCAGTTCAACTCGGTAACTCACCCGTTGGGCCCCTGGCGCGCCGACCTTTGGGGCAGGATCGGGTGAAGGAGATTCTTCGGAATGATCTGGAAAAGTCCGGTGGGAAATTACCTCCCGTGAGGTTGCCTAGGTGCCATCTGAACAAGAGGTTGCCTAGGTACTCGGCGATACTCACGTCGGTAACCTAAAGGTGTTGAAAATGAGGAGATGAGAAATGGGCCCCAAGCCGCACCAACCTTAGTTCGGGTTGTCCCCAGTTGGACTACTGGCTTCGTTGCAGAGGCGCAATGCTCTAGGCACAGAGGCGGGGTGGCCCGTGACGGTGCATGGTATGACGTGGCGCGACGTGCCGGGGCATGGCAAGACGTAACGGCGTAATGATATGTACCGTGGTGTGGCAGGTATTGATGGAGTGTCGTGTCGAGGAGTCCAATGGCTGCGCGGCGAAGTGTGACGGAACGTGTCATGGTGTGAAGTCGCTTGCTGTGGCAAAATGCTGCCTGTCTTACTGGGTCGTGCCGTGGTGTAGCAGGCGTTGATGGTTACTTGACACGCCGTAGAGTGCCATTTATTGGTGCAGAGGCTGGGTAAGGCGTGTCGGAGCAAAGCGAGAAATTCCGTGACAAAACTTGGCATGACGTTCTGAGCGTGCCGTGGTGTAGCAGGCATTGATCGCATGTCGTTTCGGGGTGTGCCGTGCAGATTTTCTTTTTGAATTTGAATTAGAATTCACTTTGCATCTACGTACATATACATATACGCAACATATACAGTACAAATACCTACAAATACACATACATATACGTAACGCGTCTCCTAGCTTCCTTAAGGAGCGTTGAGCGCACTGTGGAGTAATCCTCCGTTTACATTTACAATTTTTAATTGGAGTAATCCTCCGTTATAAAGCGCCTTCTACGGGCCACTGGGTAGTCAAGTTACGTCAGTCTCAGGTAAGTCAGAGAATCGCCGACAGGTAGAGTCTTCGCGCTCGCGTCTCGCACGCACCCTGCATCATCTACCAATTAGCCAGAGTTGGGAAGAAATAAGGATAGGGGTAAGGTTTAGAACGCTTCGCAGGGGTGGGATTAGAACTTGCGAAGTATTAAAACTGGCTTTGTCGTAACAAATTTCTCATGAAGTTCTACGGGAATGGTACGGAAATCGAACCTCAATGGTGAGAGGCAAGCGACTTCGCCCTGAACCACATGTGTCAGTTAAGGCCATGTAAGCAGTGTTAGATTTTGGTGTCATGACGCGGTGTGGCATGCCGGTGCGAGATGAGGCATGCCGTGGCAAAACCTCAGCATGACGCACTGAGCGCGCCGTGGTGTAGCAGGCATTGATCGCGTGCCGTGGAGTGTGAGGTATTGATACCGTGGCAGTGTGAGGCGTGGCAAAAGGTGCTCACCTGCATGTCCACGAGGTCGGGGCCGCCGTCCGCCTCGAGCAGCAACTCGACGCAGCGCGTCTGCCCGCGCGCCGCCGCCCGGTGCAGCGCCGTGCGGCCCTGGGCGTCGCGCGCGCGCAGATCGGCGCCCCCCGAGTGCGCGTCGCCGGGCGCCACCGCCAGGAGCGCGCGCAACACCATCTCGTGCCCTGCGCGCGCGCGGACACCTTCTTCAACTCGGACAAAAGTCAGTCAATTGACTGAATGGTGACTGGTGATTCCGGCCGCGGCAACTGCCGTGCTCCTTGGGCCCATAAGTGTAGTGCGTTTTTTTCTCCTCGGGAATGGTGGGGATTATCGCCCCCGTTGTATAGCGAGATCCGGCGCCCACATACTATCTGCTAGCGGTTTTTTTCGGGCGTCTCCCACCAGAGAGCACCACCCGGGACCAGCTCTAAACTCGAGACGTGTCTCCAGGCAAGTGCGGTACTGTAGTACGTGTAAGTGTGTGTAAGGGGGGTGGATTGGTCAAGGAGTAGGGAAGATAGAAAGATAAGGAGAAAAGATCGCGCGCGGTCCGTGGCCTGTTTGGTAGGGTATTGCTTCAGCCTGCCTTGCCTGGTATTGATCGGAGACACCAATGAAAACTATTCCGATCAGAGCAGCCGGCCGCTGGAATTCTCCTCCTGACAGCGACGGAACTCAACCCAGCTATTTGGCTAGTGTCGAAAACCCCGCCACCGGCGGGCTCGAACCTACGATCTCCCGGTCACGGGGACTACAGTGATAACTGATGCCCTGAGCCTCCTCTCCCGGGAACACAGTCGGGATACCAAAGTCATTCAGGAAGTACTTCTGTCTTAAACGTGGTTTCAAATGCAAGGATGTGACGAATATTGGCGGGATTTTCAAAACGAATATTAGGTATTGTCGGCACATAGCCGCATAATTGTCATAAATGTTTTGCAACTTGAATACTGCAAGTAAAAGTGTCATTTGACGCAGTTTGCCTTTACAAATTCACGTGATAACTATGGACATTGTAGTGTATAAGATCACTGAGCAATGTCACTAAAGGCAATGTCAACAGTTCTGCATTCAATTCCAATTACATTTTAATATTCGTCACTATAATCCTTCGTATGACTTCTTTTTCCTGTTTTCAAATTCGCGGTAGTTTTAGTCATCTCACATAAACTACATAATTTCTTAATTCGTTTATAAGATACTTATTGTGTCAGAAGACGGAACCATTCCACACCATTGTCAGAAAAACTGAGATCTACACAATGATATCAGTTGAAATCCCATGGCAACGCTCTTCCCATTAAGCACTGTAGCTAAATGTGTACTAGTAGCTACGTCGAATTCATACGCTGTCTGTAGGAGAATTCTAGCGTCCGGCTGCTCTGATCGGTAGTTTTCCGTGGTTTCTCCGATAAATACGAGTGAATGCCCGAGCAGTACCTTAATAAGCGGGCCACAGATCGCACGCGGCCTTACCTTCATCTTCCTTGCCCTCCCCTCATCCCTCAGACACACACACACACACTTCCATGCATTACACATGCCGGGAGATCATTCAGGAGCTTAGACCTTGTCCTGAAAGGGGGTGTCCCCCGCTGCTGGCAAATACCTGGATAGGAAAAACTCACAAGCCAAGTCGACATGTAGGTCTGCGCAGGATATCTCCATCTAACGGGGGAGAATCATTTCCATCTACCGTGATAAAACATGTACAACACTTTTGGGACTAATGGCCTTAGGTTGAGTTGACGACCTCGGAATCACTAAACCATTAACCAATCTGGGGGGGGTAGGAAAACGATTTATTTTACGCGGAACATGCAAATGCATTGCTCAGACATTTTAGTCTCAGTTAGCAGTTGGATTTGGAAGGAAGAGGAGTTCCGTTGGCGCAACCTTGCCAGTTGACGCCTCCGGAATTACAGATCGATTAACCAATCGGTTTGGTAGGAATGCGGCAGCTGCCTAATCCTTAGAGAGCAGAAGAAGAAGAAGAAGAAGAAGAAGAAGAAGAAGAAGAAGAAGAAGAAGAAGAAGAAAAAGAAGAAAAGAAAAAGAAGAAGAAAAAGAAGAAAAGAAAAAGGAGAAGAAAAAGAAGAAAAAGAGGAAAAAGAAGAAGAAGAAGAAAAAGAGGAAAAAGAAGAAGAAGAAGAAGAAGAAGAAGAAAAAGAAGAAAAGAAGAAGAAGAAGAAGAAGAAGAAAAGAAAAAGAAGAAGAAAAAGAAGAAGAAAAAGAAGAAAAAGAGGAAAAAGAACAAGAAGAAGAAGAAGAAAAAGAAGAAAAGAAGAAGAAGCAGAAAAAGAAGAAATAAGAGTGTTCCGTTGGCATGCCTAACGCCAAACAATCCCTAAGCAGTCATCCAATAAGCCCTGCACTCACCCCCGGCCGCGGCCGCGTGCAGAGGCGTCTCGCCGCGGCGGTCGGGCGCGTCCGCGTAGGCGCCGGCGTGCCACAGGGCGAGGAGGCGGTCCGCGTCGCCGGCCCGCGCGGCCCCCAGCAGCTTCCGACCCAGCCTCAGCCTGCGCCGCTCCTCTGAACAACAAGTCACGAGCCGCACCGGCCTATTACATACTCATTTAAAGCACAATTATTATAAAATTATATATATAATTATTAATATATATATATATATATATATATATATATATATATATTGAAACGAAGAACGTTTCTGTAATTAGAACAATTACAATGATCACCAATTATAAAGTAAAATAAAGTACTGGAGTTGGCATTCAGCGCAGTAACGCGCCGCCGCCGCCGCCACCAACCGGTCAAAATTGGGGGGATTACGGCGAGCGAGCGACGGTTAGTGGAGCGCGGAGAGGCCTCGATGAAGCACGGACGGGGCAGTGTTGCGTCCAAGAGATTTATTGTCGTTGTTAAGTGCAGTTCGGACTGAGTGTGCCCGCTGAAATGTGAAACCAGGTTTGATAAGATTAAGCAGTCAGATGATTAGCTGGAAGTAGATTGCGCACCGAACTGATGAAAACCAATAAGACAGGAAATCGTGTGGCCGTGGGCTACGTGTGTAATCCGCCCTGGTATAATATAACAGTGGGAGTGCTTACGGACATTCGCGCGAAGTTGAAGAAAGTTGCTGAAAACACTAGAACAGCCGACGAACATCATCACGCGTGTGCGTTCCAATACCCGTGATATATTGTTCCCCACCGGCGTGGGGTGGACCCCGGCGAATTCATCGGCCGTTCGTTGGGCAGAGGAGTTTGGTCGCCGAAGGAGGCGAATTCCCGGCGGACTGCGGGGCGAACCGAAGATTGCCGAAGACACCGCCGCCGTTGGCCACGACGCCCCCGGCGCCTCCAGAGGAAGCAGGTGGTTTTTTTTAAAACATCAAGGTAGCGTTGACCGTGCGCGTTGTTTCCAAGGCGTGCGCATTGCGATTTGGTAAATTACTATTGTAAGGTGTGTTTTCGTCATTAAATATTTAATGTGCAAAAGATCTATAAACGATTGACTCTCCTTATGCTCGGCGCCAAATTCCTGGACGACCCATTCACGAAAATGACCTGCCCCTTGCATAATTTATTTGTCGTGAAAGTACCGCTTCCCAGGTACGTCACAATAATATATAGATATATATATATATATATATATATATATATATACTACTATACCCTTTTGATTCCACAAATCAACATTCTTATTGAACTAATAAAGCTTAACACAACAAATAATACCAATTGTAATTGAAAGAGTTAATTTAAAAACCTTTATTAATTGAATAAAAAATTATCACATGACTGAACGTAAGTTTTGATCTCTTAAATCACATTACAGAAATTAACGACTACTTCTGATGAAAGAAATTAGTTAATTATAACATTAATAAGGGATTTTTTTGCTCGCGAACGGGTCTACTTGGACCACGCGTGCATGCACTCTGTATTTACCGGGGCTCAGTAGGCATGTGGCTCAGTTGGCAGGGGGCATGGAATTTTTATCGGGGGATCGGCATTGAGCTGAATCCGATTTTTATCTCCCCAGGGGCCCAGTTAGCCCTGGGGGAATGGAAGATGAAATGACGATGATAGTGAGGGGTGAGAGGACGTCTCACACACACAAACACAAATAAACGCGTGCACGATTCAGGACTCGAACTCGCAATCTTCTGGTTCGAGACCGCTACGACACTACTGAATTAGGTCTTCTGATCGGCCTATGGCGTAGCTTGTATTTTTAACACTATTTATTTCACTTCAAAAACTGTTAAAAACTGTATGTGAGTGCTACGGGGTATTTTGTGTCCTTTCCTGAATTCTGCGATCCCTTCCCTAAACCATATACAAGTTGAATTGTGAATGCAGAAAGAAATAAACTTTTTTGACAAGAATTGTTAACAGAACATTTGCTCCAATGAAATAAAATCAAAGGAATGTAATAAAATCAATCAAAATTTATAATTTCAAAGGCAATTCAGCTATAGATTTGAGTTCTTATTTTTCATCCTGCCCTTTGTGGAGAAACACTCCACAAAGGGCATTGTGATTTGGCCGAGACAATATGGAGAATGATAATTGTAATAACTACGAGTATATTTCCCACTGAAATCTAGAAGACGTGCATATATAATGAAGTTACATTTATGACCAGAAGCAAAACAAGGAGCCATCTCAGCATTTGCTCAAGGGGTCAGGGAAACTGGACGAAAAACCTGATCGAGATGTGGGGTCATTGACCCAGAAGCTGAGGTAGAATACTTGTTACAGGTTGTTTAGAATTATGAAGGTAGTCCAAATGGTAAATAATACATTAAATATCGTTGTTAAAATTAATATTAATTTACTTTTTTGAAGCTCGGTATAGTCTCTAATTGAATAGAACTAGTTAGCCTGGAGAAAATATTTTATATGGGACTCAAACTTTTGTATCGATTTTAATCGTTTAATGTCATCTAGCAAATTTAGTGAAATAATTCTTCTGTTGGTGTTACCAACTAATGGTATCCCTCCCTTAAATTAAAAATATAATTCTCCATTACTGAACAGTTTACACTTCAGTTACAGTTTAGTTACAGTTTCAGTTTCAGCTTCAGTTTAAATTTCAAGTATATTTACACATGGCTTATATTAAAAACTGAATGCAATTCAGAATAATTGAAATATAATTTTTTAATAAATAATCTAAAATAAAGTATAACTAACTAACAAATTCATGTTTTATAAAAACATTTTTCGATATATAAGGTCAGAAAACTTATCTATAATTTCATATAAATCTACGCTATGTGCATTACTTTTTTAATTGTTGTCACCCGTACGAGAGTGTCACTCGGGACACTATTGTACCCCCCGCCCCTGGTCCCCACACTCACTACGGCAGTGAGTTGCTGCGAGACTTTCATTGAGAACTAGCGGACCCGACAATGCTCTGCTATTGCAGTGTATTAAATAAACGCAATTCAAATTCAAAATCAATTTATTCAATGAAGACTAGTGTACCAGTGCAGGATCTCTTTCATTTCAACCCCACTCTCCTCCAACTCCTTCCATTTCCCAATAAAGACGGAAAGGTGCAAATAATACGTGCTTATTTGTATAAATATTGTATTAAGATAACTTCCAATGTACTTACAAAGTATCAAATAAAAATACAAAACAATGCAATTGATGTTTGAATCCAATTTCCAATAAATGTTTATTAAATATAGTGAGATTTTCTTGGAACAATTCACAAGACTTCCCAGGCGAAAATCCCACGCTGTATATAAAACGGAACAGTCGAGTTCGGAGGGGGGGGGCACCGGCAGATTAAGCAGTCCGCGCAACGAATTCGAGCAGATGATGCAATATTCGTTACAATACATTTCAACGTCGCACACATTTCATTATACTTTCGTACATTAAAGGGGTTGTTAAAACATCCTGCAGGCTGCACACGTTCTAGACACATTCATTTATTTACGTACTTCTCGTAACTTGTACTTGATGTACATGTGTGAGACACGCAACGCGATCTGGGAACAAGAATGTTTTATTTAAAGTGATAGTCGTGAGTGTTATGGGAATTTTTATATCATGTTGAATTAATGCTGGATAAATGAGAAGTAAGGACACAAACTAGGATTGGTTAGTACCAGTGCGTTTCGCACCCTTTTGGAAGATTGCAGTATCCTTGCATATTAATCAGCAGTCAGTGTGCGCATTTCTTGAAGTATATGACAATTTACTGTGTAAATCGCATAATTTCATTTCGAATTTCTTATTGGTGTCCTATCGAATGTCAGCTCTTGAAATTTCTAAACGCAACCATATTTAGATGTAAACAAACACCTTTCGTATCGCCATTAATGAATTGGTAGCTCGTAAAGAGTTAGGCTAACGCATGAAATAATCCTAACACAATCATTTATAATGGTAAGCAAACACGCCTTTTTAATTGTGGCTAAATTTAATATACTTGTGCATAATAATAACAATAATAAAAAAAGATTCATACCGAGCGATGTGGCTCGGTGCGTAGCGCGCTGACTTCGTAATCGGGAGGTCCGGTTTCGATTCTCGAGCCGGCCATCCTGACTGGGGTTCTCGTGGTTTCCCTCGGTCATAAGGCGAATGCTGGGATGGTTCAAAAAGTCCACGATCACCTTTCACCAATATCCTATCACCTAATCCATTAATAATAATCACACTTCAAGGCGTAACAACCTTGTAATCCAAGGATACAGCTGAAAAGCTGATCCTGGAAGAATTACACACGTTAATCGTGTAGCGTGGTCAGTAATGGCCTATACGCCAATAATAATAATAATAATAATAATAATAATAATAATAATAATAATAATAATAATATTTATTGTTTCAGGGATAACTCACAAAAAAACATTAAAGTTACCTTCTATAAAGTGTCGAGTGAACTGTAAATACGAACAGCCAGGATATTGTACTCGTACACTGTAGTACTCGTACAGTGGAGTATTACTGAGGATATTCATATGATTGGTGTTCGGAATTGCCGCACATGTCAAAGTATCAGTGGACTGTATGAAGGATTGATAATTGAATTGGGTTTAACAGTGCAGCAGATTCGAACCCCTTGTTAGCTCAAGGAGACTGGCTGGTAGGGGTTGGACCTCTCCTATCATAAAAACAAGCAGTTGGCACACAGTTCCCCTTTTGTTTATTCCAGAAGGCAAGTCACAGGAGTACAGTATAACAGTTCGATCATTGTGATCTTGTTGCACCTTGCACACAACAGATGTAAGTCTTTTTGTGAATACCCACACGAGAGAGATACGTTTAGTTTCACAAGTGCTTAACGTCGGAGTACTAATTAAATAAGATTGTTAATCTGCTTCGCAGTCACCAGGCCGACCCGCGTATGCGTTCAAGTCACTGACGCCCTGTAGTTCTCAAGCGATTAGCACAATTAACTTCAAAGGATACTAAATGAAGCTACATGCTTCGTAAGATTCGTTTAACGCGAATCTTCATCACGGAGTTGGAGTAACGTCTGGCTCGAATGGTGTTAACTCAGAGACTAGCGCGACCGTTTCTTGCAGGTTGCGACAAGATCTCGGGGCATGGAAGGAATGGCGATTTGCCAATCCTGAATCAGAATACAACTGTGTTTAAAGTGTTCGCCCGTTGGCGTAGCAAGAGGCGGTGGCAAGGGGTGTATATACTCTCCCCCTGTGGGTTTCATTTCTGAGAATATGTCGGTGCGCCGGCTGGCGGCTGGCGTGTTGCGCAATATTGTGCGCCTGGCCGTTTTTCTCCCTTACAGAATGATTAGTGGAATACAGCCTACGCAACGCAATGATCGATGGCCTTGCGTGGTGATTGATTCCTTATGCAATATTTCTATGTGGGACCGAACAATTGGTGTTTACATATTGACCACATAATGTACATTTGTAGCACATTATATAGAAGAGAAAAGATAATTTCACATATAAATTGAACATTCAGAACTAAAGGCCATTCAATACATCGCATTATGAATGAATTCGAATCTTCGATATCATTTACTTAAATGAAGCATCTGAGTCCGATATCCGTCTGTGAGGTTTGCGAGTTTTGGGAGAGGCTTTGCAAGTTTCAAATGGATATTTTGATTTTTGAAGGTACTTTGCATGAAACTTCAAAAAACATTTTTTTCTCAATTTCCTGAAAAATGGCTTCAAATTTCCTGATTAAAATTTGTCCTCGGATTACATAAGAACGTTTGAGAGAATGGTGAAGGTCTCAGTTTCGTTAAAATCTCTGATTTTTGAAAATTGCATTTTATTGGCATCTCCCCACAACTACAATATTGAAGTTATTTTTGTTCTTTAATGACTGATCTTGAAATAAGATCATGTAAAATTTTACAAATGTGAGTAGTTTTTGTACAATTTTGTGCGAAATATAGGCAATAATTTTTTTTAAATATATATTTTCCCAAAAACCAAACATTTTCTTTAAAATTCCTGCTCGTATGTTTCAAGGAATGCTAAAAAATGGAGATAGACCCATTTTGGGGAACTCTCGGTAGTTTTTTGAAATTTCAAAAAGTTTACATTTCAAAATTACAAAATTGAAGATAAATTTTTTTTTTCCAAGACAAAGTCTGTTGTAAAAATTTAACTTTTTAAAAAAGGTCATGTACATTTTTTGACGAAACGAGTAGATTTTCTGTAGTTTGTGCTTAATATTAATGCAATTTATAAAAAAAATCTTTCTCAGAAACCGTCCCAAATTTTTTCCACGGATGGAAGATGAGATACTTGAAAGACTGGCACAGGTGCCATATTATTTGGACTTTGAATTTTTCGAAGATTTGCAAATTTAGAAATAATGCTAGAAAACATGTGCTGCTGTACCACCACTAGTTATCAAGTTTGTTTAAAAACAAGTGACATTATACACTTAAATAAAAAAGACAACTTCACGGACAACAAATAAGTAAAAATAGACTGACCTGCCTGTAAGGTGCGTTTTGCACCATCCTCGTCCGCTTTGTTCAAGCAGCGTTCCGATATCCTCTCAGCTTTTTTGATCAGCCCCATGCTGACGCGTTGCTGATCGTTTCTATGACGCAAGAGAAGCTGCCGGTGGGGCAGAAAGCGAATCATATCACCTTCCTCCGGATCATCCTGCTACGAGAACCACATACGAATGAAGAAGCATAGAGTGTCGGTTAAAATACACTTTTTAATCTGAAAAAAAAATCGGCTACGGATAGCAAACATAAGGCTGATGAATAGGGACTCTTTTACTTTAATAGTTGAACGTTTAATAAAAGTACCAAAAAAGCGCGGTTAGCGACATTTGAAAAATTGACATTTTCTCTCACGAGTTGTTGAACACATATCGGTAAACAAACTATAGATTTGATATCAAGTATTCCAAACAAAATAGAAACTGCCCCCGGCACTACTACCACCACCACCACCACCACCACCATCCCGACCACCACATCACCACCACGACTACCTCCACGACCACCACCACCACTGCTACTGCCACTATTACTACTACTACTACTGCTACTACAACGTACAACCGGAGAGCTCAACAAAATGTGCAAATAGTGAAGCTACTTTTATGTTCAGATGCAAAATAAGGGGCCATCTCATCATTTACGCAATGGATCTGGGGAATTGGACGAAAACTAATTGAGATGAGGGTCATTGATCCAGAAGCTTAAGTTAAGGCATATTTCTTCTTTTTAAAATTATACAGAGCAAATGGGAACTAATTGATTAAATATCTATGTTAAAATAAACATTGTTTTTCTTGTTAATGATCAGTACTTACATCTTTCTTCTCTCCCGTCTCCTTTTCTTCCGCTACCAACTTCGTCGCAAATGTCACAGGGCGTTTCTGTTTAGTGTCTGCCTGTGTTGGACGTGATCTTCGGCGTGTCGTGGACTCTTCTTCTTCCACTGACTTGATAGATGTAGCAGACTGTTCAGAGATGGGTGGGGTCGGAGATTGGAGTTGGTTATTCAATGACTCTTTTCCCAAGAAGAAATTGCACATCATTCTATCATAGCGTTCAAAGATATCCGATGTTGAAGATGTGTCACTATCCTGAGACAACTCCCTATCTTCCATCAAGCACTTCACGTGAGATGTGTCGGAGACGGTACTTTGGTTTTGTAGCGAGCACGGCTTCCCTGACTCATTTTCTATATTCTCTCTGTTTTGGAGTGAAGAATGTTTAGTAGTTTGTACTGTCAGAGGGAGACACTGTTTTTTCAACGCACTTTCTCCCACTAAATGCTCGTATACACTCTCGGTGTTCTGTATGACCTCTACATCGCTGGTTGAGCTTTTTCGTGAATTTGGTTCCGTTTCCTTACATAACGTTTCTTCCTGAACACCTGTGTCATACTGTTTGTAATTCAGCACTTCTCCGTCCGATTCAAAGTTGTACTGCGATACTGATTCGACACTTGCTTGAACATTTGTATTATTCGTCAACATTGCAGCTTCATTTTTAATTTCGTTTCGTATGACAGTTGAAGAGTTAGAAAGAGGATTGGTATTTGTAAATCGTTTTCTACACCCCTTTGTCTTTTCCCTTTTTAATGTTCTCTCAGAACGTTGCTCTTCACCTCCAGTACTTCCTGATACCTCGTTTCCGAGATGCCCTATATTCTCTGTTATTTGTAGTTCTTGTCGCATCCCAGCTACGAGTGATGTACTCTTTCCTTCTACATAATCTTCGCTTTTCATATGTTTTTCTTGCAGATTTTCTTCCGTTCTAAATTTGTTTTCTTTCCTTTCATTGTCTTGGGTAGGATCACCTTCACGGCAGCTATTATTCGACAAGGATATGCATTTGATGTCCCAATTCCTTTCCAAATTTTCTGTTAGATTTCTGCACTTCTCCTTCAAAGTTTCTCGAAGTATATTCGTCCATCGTATTTCCAATTTCTCCATTTTTCTTATCCAACCTTCCTGCAATTCAATCTGTTTTTCTCTCCACATTTCCTCAATCGCTGTGTGTACTTCTTTGCATTTTACCTTAGCATCTTGAAGTGCGTTTTCGGTTATGCCAATAAACTCTTCCTGGATGGTGTCACATTTGTTTTTCCATCGGCTTTGTATTTCGATCTGCTTCATACTAAATTCCCGCTCCATCTCCTCCTCCATCTCCTTGCTTTTGGCCTGGAGAGCCGCTTCTAGAATATCTTTGCAGCGCTTCTCTATTGTTGCTTTCCTTCTGACCCACCTCTCCTCCATTTTCTCCTCCATGTTTTTCCATTTCTCCTCCAGAATCAGCTCCATGAATTCGTTGCACTTCTGGCAATCCACAGATCCAACTTATTCCTGAAGGTAATATAGAAAAGTGATTATTAGAAGGACAACAAATCGTAATTTCCTAATCACTTGATTCAATTCTCAATATATTACTTAGAAGAACAGTAAGGTATATAAACAAAAAGGAAAATCACTACAATAATCGAGCCTTTCATATGAATGCTAACTTAGTGTGGCGTCTCCAACGCTTTAAACGATTTTTAAAGTATTTTCACATTTCCTAATTAGATAAGAGAATACAACGAAAAATAGTGGTGCTAAAACACCATGAACTTTCTTACCTTTAGTAATAGTTATGTAATACTATTTATACCACAATTTTGCTCCGAATTAACACATCTCAGTCACCGTTCTTTGTAAAACACATTACAAGTTGTAGAACATTTGGTGCAAAAACTAAATATTTTCAAGGAAAAAATCAACATGTAATTTGCGTTCGGCGATGGTGTAATGGTTAGCGTATCGGACTGTTATACCCAAGTTGGCGGGTTCAAATCCGATCGAAGCCGTAGATTTTTAAGGGCGAAAAAATCCTTCGGAGGCGAAGTAAAGCTGGCTGTCCCATGTTAGTAGATTTACTTGCATGTAAAAGATCCTCAACCCTAAATGACGCCTCTGAGTTAAGTTCAAATCGCCTGTTTCTCGAAATAATTACGCGGAAAATAACTTGCAGAACAAAGAACGACCAGTAACCTACTTCTTGTACGAGGATATGTGAAACTTCCGAACAAAGAATACAGCGTTTAACCAATCAAGACAAGCTTTAACCGCGTTACACCGACGTAAGCCAATGGGCGACTCAAACGCAGTCGAGAGACTCGCGTTCCAAAGATATTGCATTGTAGCGTCGTGCCACGCTCAAAACAGACAACCACGTGGAAATCGGCGAGCATCGCCGGATGTTAAACAAAGGGCGGAGTGATACGCACTGGGACTTTCCGTGGACGTAGCGGGCCCAGAGCGGCTTTGGGCAATGGGAGCGGCGGGTAGCGCCAAAAGGGCCTATGTAAGGCCAGGAGAACAATGCCCCAGTCTTCTTGTTCTAGCGGCGTCGGGGACAGGTGAAGCGCGTGTCTGTGCGTGTAGGTGCACTAGGGCGAGGGACCAGCAATTCATTGTCGTGACTTGCGAGACGCGTAGATGATCTCAAAGTAAAGCGGCTTCATACAGGGAACATCGGTGGTATGTTGCGTTGTAGTAGCCGTTCTTAAATTATCTCTCCTTGTAGTGTGTCTATTTATTTAGTTTATTGTGAGCAGGGTAGTTGTTAAATTGAGACTACGGTCTAGATTGTTAATAAATCTAGTGTTTTTTTAGTTAATAAATTTACTGTTTCTCGTTTGTGTTCGATTACACCCGTATGACGCCACAGCATTCTGATCGGGAAAAACAAGAGAAAAATGGTCGTGGCTCGCGACTACGCGCGGGAAGCACGTGCTTCGAGGTAGGATCTATCGTCTCGAAGGGAGCGATAGATAACTTAAATTACTCGACGAGAACACACAGCTGTAGGTCTTGGGCGAGTAACATTCGTCAGATCAGTTTCTGATTTCAGAGCAGTGAGATGATTTGAAACTTCAGAGCAGTGAGATAGCCCCCAGAGATTCGTCGAGCTGCTGATATTCAAACATTAACATCCGAGCGGAAACACTCGCTAAGCCACGTTCCATCTCTGAACTTATAAATCTGCTCACAGATAACAAACCCAGCTGCCATCTATCGCCTCCTAAAGTACACAAAGTTTTCGTTTTTTTAACAGTAAAACCGAATTATTACTTTAAGAATATTAAAGAATAGTAAAACCTCGTCATAAATAACAATTTTCATTGAACAATTTGCAGCAGTTTTTAAGAAAATAGTGTTTAAGCATGACTGTTTATGCGAAATTTGAAGCTCTTTTCAAGAAAGCAATTGCGTTTTCGTAAACCTTCATATCTAGTCATATCAAGCATATCTAGTCACAAATGCAATAGTGTTAACAAATCGGTATATATGTTTATATTGAAGGTGTGACAGATATTTAAAAAAAATTACATTTGAGTATAAAAAAACAACAAAAGAATGAACTTCAAAATAATATAAATTTTATGTCAATTTGAACAGTGCATTAGTACTATATACTGTAATGATACTGTATATGATATTATTTAAAGCAAATGTACTCCTAAATACACTAATGTAAACGAACCGTCGTTAATGTAGATATTAACAAAAAAATAGAGCGATATGTCGTTTATGTCATCTTATAGAGTGTATTTAACATTATTTCTACCAAACGTTTAAAGAAAAAATTGAGAAAATATTGTTTTTGTTATTTTTTTAATATTTCAGGCAATATTGTACGAAAACTACTAATGTCAAAACAATGCACATGACCATAATGAAAGAACCTATTAAGGAGATAAAAATTTACTTAAAGGAAAAATCTGTATCTTCAATTTTGTAGCTGTAGGAAGACGTCCGAAAAAATTCCAACTTATGTAGTAAAGTTAGTTAAAGTTAGTTATTAAGTAAATGTATTTTACATTTTTCTTACAAAAAAATTTAGGTAAAGAAATTTGGCACCAATTTTTAAAAATGTTGAAAATGTCCGGGGGTTTCAAATAAAGTACCCCCAAAACTTAATGAATGTTTTTCAAAATCTCATAGCTTCGACTCAGGCCAGATGGACAGGGGTTTATTTTTATTTTGGAAAAAAAAAATCCTACGTATGGTTAACGCTAGTGATGTTCACTTACACCAGATAGACGGAGATGGACAGACAGACAGACGGGCTGATAGATGGACAGACAGACGGATGGACGGAGGTGTTTTATTTTAAACAACACTGTATCAGAGCATCCCTAAACGTGTATTTCTGTTGAAATCTTGAAATCTATTTTCCGCCGCATTACATAACTTTCTCTACGTATATTAATCCGTACATACGTACGTGTAAAGAAAGTAAAAAGTAATGCTACAGAATGGCTCAGACATAGTCGTATTACTTTTCTATTTCCATTGGTCTCGGCTAGCTATTCGGACTGCCACATATTCTTGCCTGCTGCTGTCTATCGCCGCCCACAGTACATTTAAAAACAAATTCTTGAATTTTCGGCTTCCTAATAGAAGAACGAAAATATTATTTTAAGAACATTAAAGAACAGTAAAACCTCTTCCTAAATGGCCAATTTCATTTCCCGAAGGGCTGCAGCCTTCTCCCTTAAAACGACACGTTCACTTGTCCAGGTCAGACGGGCGAGAACCACAGAAAGGCTCGAATGTACTCGGCTTCTACTTAGAATGTACTCGGCTTCTGACGGCAGGTTTTTCCCCCTTCAGGGTTTTTTTCCTTAGCCGTATCTTATGGTC